GGGGGGGGGGTGGGGGGGGGCAAGGGGATGTGGTGTGGTGCTGTGCTGGTAACACGTTCTCCGGACGATTCCTTGGAAGGTGGAGAAGCTCAGGCTGATGGGATGAATTCCGAACTCCTCGGCATGACATACGTACAGTAACCTTCACAGGATCCCTGGCTTAGCCTTCCCGTCTCCTCCCCATGACACTCATGCCCTGCCTCATGCAGGTATTTAATGCAGGTATTTGTTCATGCTTAAAACTTAATCACACCTCCTCCTGCTACCGCCCCGACTGTCCATTCCTCTTTACAGCAACACTCTTTCTTTACAAACAGCTTTACGGGTGCCTCTCTGGCTGAGTCCGTGAAGCGTCTGACTCTGTTTCAGCTCAGGTCACGATCTCGCGGTTCATGAGTTTGAGCCCAGCACCAAGCCCTGCGCTGACAGCGCGAAGCCTGCGTGGGATTCTCCTCTCTGCCCCTCCTCTGCTCTCTCGCTCTCTCTCTCAAAATAAATTTTAAGAAGAAAATTTAAAAACAGCTTTATGAGAGAATACATACTTCATACAGTAAACCATGCGTGTTTAAAGCATACAGCTTGGTAAGCTTTAACACCTGTATACGCTGCGTATCAGCTCCGCAGTCAAGCTAAGGAACACATCCATCACCCCCAAATTTCCTTGTACCCCTTTGGAATCCTACCCTCCCCGCTTCCCCTCACCCCCAGGCAGCCACCCGTCAGCTTTCTGTCACTGCAGATTACTTTGCATTTTTCTAGAATTTTTGTATAAAACGAGTCCTGCACTATTTGGGCTGACTTCTCTGACACAGCATAACTGAGGTTCCCTGTGTTGTGTGAATTAGTAGTTTTATTCCTTTTAATTGCTGAGGAGTGGTCTGCTGCAGGGATGCCCCACAATTTGTTCAGTTCTGAGGGTCACTGTCATGGCTGCGCCTCCCCGCCTTCCCTCTTGGCCTTTGCCTCCACCTCTACGTGGTCCCCTGCTTGGCAAGGGTACCAATCGCTGGGGAGGGGTGAAGCCTCCTTGTTAGTCTGGGACAATTGGGATTTCCTCCTGTTGTCCCGGTGCCATCACTCATAAAGTCCACTTTCCACCCTCTGAAGTGTCCCAGTTCGGACAATAAATTGAAGGGTCCAGCGGGCTGCCGGATCCCCTGGGAGATGTGCGGTGCTCAGTTGGGGCGACGGCTTACTCCCCTTCGGTAGATTTCCTTACCAGGCTCCTGGGCCCTGCGCTCCCCTGGTCTCTCCCCTGCTTCCAGCTCTCACCGCTGCAGCCCCAGGCTCCTTGTTGATCCTCCTCTTCAGCTGCCCCAGGGCTCAATCCTAGGCCTCCGGATTCCTCTGCACCCTTTCACTAGGTGGTCTCATCCAAGCCCATGGCCCTAAATACCATCATCACGTTGATGACTCCCGATTATTTCATTTACATTATTTTTATTTTTTGACTCCTGATTATTTTAATCTCCAACCCCGAACTCTCCAGCAAGCCAAGTGACCGCATGACCTCTCTTCTGGGATATCCAACAGGTGTCCCAACCTTAACATGCCCCAAACAGAGTCCTTTCTTTTCTTTTGGAGAGCGAGTGCACAAGTAGGGGGTGGGGGGAGGAGCAGAGGGAGAGAGACAGAGAATCTCACGAGGGTTCCACGCTCAGCATGGAGCCCGACAAAGGGCTCGATCCTACAACCCTGGGATCACGACCTCAGCTGAAATCAGGAGTCGGATGCTCAACCAACAGAGCCAGCCAGGCGCCCCTGCCCCCCAAAGAATTCTTGATTCCCTCTTCCCAAACCTGGTCTTCGCCCATCTTAAAAACGGTCAGGGGATGCCTGAACCTCGGAGTCCTGATTCCTCTCGTTCTCTTATGTCACAAGTCCCCAGGGGCTCCCTCCAAAACCCCTCCTGAATCTCGGCCCTCTCGTCTCTTGAATGTACTGCTGCCCCCCAGCCCATGTGGCCGCCATCCTCCCCGAGACAATGACCACAGCCTCCTACCCAGCCTCTGCTTCCTCTCTGCTGTGCCCGTGCCCCCCACAACACAAACACACTTGATTGTCTACACAGCAGCCAGGGGTTTTTTGGTTTTGCTTTGTTTTGAAGTAACTTAACAGGTCATGGCAACCCCCTGCTTAACTCCAGTGCCCTTCAGGGGCCGACGAGGCCTATGTGATCTGGCCCCTGCGGACCTCTGCCCCGGCTCCTATCACATTCTTCCTCCTCCCTCCACTCCCAACACACAGGTCTGATGGCTGCTCCGTCATCCCGCAGGGCTCACGGCCACCTTGGGACCTGTGGGCTGGGCTGGAGCAGTCTCGTCCAAGATGCCTGCAAGGCGGGCTCTTCCTTGTCCCCAGAGAGATCTTCCTGCCCCTCTCTCGAGCCCTCACCCCATCCGGCCCCCTGTCTCTCCCATCGCCCTGTTTGATTTCCTTCCTGTCTCTGAAATGGTCATGTTTATCAGCTCTTTAGCTTAGCTACGGTCTCCCCCACTCAGACTCCAGCCCCAAGACAGCGGAGGCCCCGCCAATCCCATCCCAGGGCCCAGCAGGTACCTGGCGCACGGCTGGCACTCAACACTGACTTTGGAACTGAAAGTGCCCGAACGCAGGTACTTTTCTCCAGGATGGCACTGTTCTCTGACGACGTTCTGAGAACAATCTGATCGGAGAAAAACGGCGGCCTGTTGTTTCACCGCTGGATCATTTTCCACCTCACTTTGGCTTCTGATCTGCTTTTGAGGTACGGGATCTGAGACCCCAGGGGTGTCCATCTACGCTCATTCCCCGCCCTTTGCCTTCCGGAAGCGGGGCGAGTAAGCTCTAACTAAATTTCTAGTTCACCAAGCTACCGCTGCAGAGGTTCCGCAGCAATTTAGAGCGAGGGGCCCTCAAGCCCATGCTACACCACGGGAACCCGGCTTCAATCATCCAATTGCAGGATGGCAGGCTACTATTTGCCGACTGTCAGAAAAGTCGATTCTCAAACCACTCTTTTACATGTTTATATGGATGTGTTCTCTGTTTAGCGGAGGCACAGAGCAAGCGCGTGCTGGGAATTAATCAGGAAAGAGCCATTCGAGGAGGACAGCACGGGCAGCTTCAATGACTAGTTCTGCACAATTACCACCACGGAAACATCTGGTGAGACAGAAACTCTCATTGCAAGAGGGGAGGGGGTGGTGGGGAGAGGGCTTTCGGTCCGGCACGGCCAGGAGGTGGGCACCGCGGCTCTTATAATGAGACGGCTGGCTCTCCGAGGGTGTTCGTGTACGTTCCGCGAACGGCCCGGAGCACCGCCTGACCTCTAGCCGTCCGCTGCCCCAGCTCTCTCCAAGGCGTCTGGCGGAGCGGGGACAGAAGGAGGGAAGCAGGTGCACCGTCAAATGCCTGCAGGGGCCAGGGAGGTGGGAGACAGATGCACTGACGTAGGACCTCAGGGCGTGATGGGGGGCGTGGGGAGCTGGGAGGATCAGGCCTTGCCTGATGGTGCTTAAATCTGAGATGTTTCCAGCACTCTGCGGCCAAAGAAGCAGCATCTGTGGGTGGATTTGGTCCAACGATCACCAGAGTGGGCTTCCTGGCGGGGAACCAAGCAGTGGTCACTTCTCCGGGCATTCCAAGGGTGAAGAAACTAAAAGGCTGCATCATCTCACGCAGCCCTTGGAGCAAATCCGCACAGTGGGCATTAGGACCCATTGTGCAGATGAAGACAGTGAGGCTCAGCCTTCCCTGAGGTCACGCAGCTCGTGCGCACGAGCGGTTAGCCACTCTGCCTGGCATCTCCCTTGGGGTCAAGCTAGATCCAGAGAAGGTCTGGCCACGGGCAGAATCCCCTGCCCTGGCTGGAGCTCTGACTCCACGTCTAGCTTTTAGTAAGTCCCCGTGGACCCAGTCTCTCCCGTCCCCACCCTGGCTCCCTCCTCACCCCCGGGGGCAATCACTGTGGGCACTGGGTGGGGAGTGTATGCACAAGTGCCCTTCCAGATTTTTTCTCCGTATCTATGTACATACTGATGTCTCCGTCACCGCAGCTCAGGGGCGGGGTTAGACACCATGTGAGATGCACGCGTGCAGTGTGGAAGATTCTGCGCGTCCCTATTGCTCGGGGTCCCCGCAGTAAAGCTCTGTATGTGGTATGTCTTTGGACGTGGATATGCGGAGAAGATTCTCCCGCTTCTAAAGAACCAGGCTGCTTCCTCCCTTTCCAATAAGCAGCCCTTTAGTCCTGACTGTTTCCCGC